AAACGAGGCCAATGATCATCTTCCAAATAGCTTGATCTTGACCTATTAAACAATATGAGACGTATGAACTGCAACCCGCGTCAATGACGATACGTACTCATGAGCCGTTTTGTCCGCACACAAGGACCGCAAACGCACACGACTCCTATGTTTTACAGGTCCAAAGTCGATGATGGGAGTTGCCCTTACTTACAAGCCTCCCAGGAGTGTCAGGCGCTCCGAACTAGTGGTGCATTGTTTGAATGTGCCGAAGTTTACTCCACCGAATTGTACGCCCAAACTTTCTGCTGCGTCGAAATACTATATTGGGCATTCCAGTACAAATATACGTACCTCTCTTGCGTCGCCGTCTTCGTTGAGGACCCCGCTTTTCTCTTTTGGATACGATACTCGTCCATGAAAACTCGAAGTGGCGTTTCAACATAGTAAAACGGAAACTGCCATTGCTATTTGAAGTACCTGGTGGTGTAAAACCTATTTGGACTGAAGCAAGTAGATTCCTTTACAAGCAATAAAGTATAGCTCTCATCTTTGCGAATGGTGTGGAATGCCAGTTCACCCATTACTTATGCATTCCTTCGCTTCGAACGCATCCTGTACGAAGGATGTGGCATTGTTTTACAGACAAAATTATTCAGTGCTGTCGATTTGAAATCTTTATACGGATAGTGAACTGTCAAAACGCTTCCTGCTCGACAATATTAGATACAGAACTTTCCAGGATCTTTTCACATGCGACCTACAATTGCGATTGGCCCATCGTTCTTGAAATAGTGCTCTACTTCGAGGGCACAGTACCGTGTACATGACGGCACCTCCACATGGCTCTGACGCTGACACTCTAACGACCTGGTAGGTGGTAACGCAATGTCCAACGACTGCAAGGGCGCGGAATCGTATCAAATGTCTACGTATATAAAGTCGTCACGAATGCGAAGAATGGTGTTTCCTGTGGCAGCGAACCTAGACCGATATTTGTAAATCAAGCCCCCTGCACAGTGTTTGTTGAATTCCATGTGTTCGAAGGATCCCATTCCGGTCCCGTGCTAATCCACGGAGCGGTTTATGTACTCGCATGCATTTCCTCCAAATCTATAATGATATTCAACGACCTCCCAAGTTATGAGGTCGGACGGTATGAATCTGTTCCGCATCCGCGTTGTTAACGTCCGTTAAGCAACACGGGGATCAACGTCTTGATCCGATTCACAATGCAAACTGACTGGTATTACCACTCCATTCCAGTCACTACTTTTCCTGAAACGGTGGCAGCCTCGCAGCCGCCCAACTGCTCGACCCACTACGAATGTCCGTGCAGTTAAGTGCGGTTTGCCTTTGGTCACTTCTAAAGGCACACGTCGAACTTGCGCGAATGTCGCGGAACACTCCCCCCTACAACGGGCGACCCAGGTTTGCTTCCAAGTCATCACCATCGCTTTGACTACACCATCGCTAGCGTGCTTCATGACCCATCGACGGAAGATGACCAGAATATCTTCGTACAACTGCGCGGCGGGCTCCCACGAGGCTTCTTCTTCTTCAAGGCCCTTTCACTTAACGCGCACTTCGTACTTGCCCTCGGCGCTTTATCGTGCGCCCAGGAGGCTTCAACGAAGAAGCCTTCGTCTCCTTCAAGTCGTCGGCCACGTCCTAGGCAGCATCTCAGAAGTACTTCAGCCGGCTGGCATAGTGGACCGACGTCGCAAATGGTTCAACAAGCTGTTGAATTTCCATCACGTAGTCTGACTCGATACGTGATACACGGTATGCCCCTCTCCAGTTCAGGGCTAACTTGTTGGGAAACTTGACGACTTTGCCCAGCAGAACATAATCGCTTAAGCGCACACTTTGCCATTTTCACAAGGGTTTGTCGAGCGTCGTCCCCGCGTCTATGGCGAAATGTAGCACAGCGTACACATGCTATGAACCGGCTTGGATCCAACCGCACTGGCTAAAACATTTTCATACTTTGATATTTCCGTGGGCTCGGAGATGGGATCGCGTACGACGCTCGGCATGCTCGGTACTCTTGGCGAGTTATTTGGGGTAGGTGGAGTAGAGTTAGTCTCGACCGTTCTCGACGCATCGAATGCGTTGATCCAAACTGAAATGTTTGGTGAAAGATGAATGAACCGACGGCGGCAATTGGGACACAATGTACATACAACCCTTGTTCGATACGGAGGCACACTTGGCTATGGCCTCGCCGTTGCGGAATACGTTCGACGAGGAGAATTTATGGTGGAGCGTACTGCAGAAGTTATGCTCAAAAAGGCAATGATCAGGGTATGGAAGTGCACAACGAAGCCCACCCCGACGACTAGAATTTTTCTTCATCAGCTGTACCGTCGTACGTTTGTCGATGCCCGCCACAAAGGCAGCATGGCGAGGTTCATGAACCATTCCT